TGGCTACACTTCACTGAACTATTTATCCAGCTATACATGATTCGCATGTATACATCGAATGCCCCCATTCGGGTAGCTCGGACACATTCGGGTGTGTGCAAATCCTAAAGCATGTTGCCATTCGGGTGATATAACGAGAGATAACCTTATTTTCACACGAACCGATTTGACCAACACATCAAGATTCCAACACAAAAAGACAGGGGCGGGGCAACAGACCCGGCCTTTCTGATAGACCCTGACCGTGGGGGCCCCAGGCTAGGGCTAATGGGGCTGACGCACCCGCGTCAGCCAAATGCAGTACCTGTTCGGAGGATGTGTGTTACTTGATGTGACCCAAAAGTTGTTCGTTGTTTGGAAGCAAACATTGGCTTCTGGCCTCAAGACGCCAGCCACCGCACCCTACACACCGCCATGGTCGGGCTGTCCTCCGCGCAGCTTCCGCCTATGAAGCTGTACGCTGGGGACACGATCACCTACTACACTCAGATGTATGTCGCCGGCGACCCCCGTGGCTACAGGACTGCTGTTGTTACGCGCGTGGATGATTCGCTCGACAAGGCGGCGGCCCCGATCGCTGTCACGACGGATGAGATCATCCCGCCCACCATGCTGATCAAGAAAGGTGCTAAATCGTGACGGTGAGGAGGTGAAGTGCCATTGGCGCAAATTACGCACGTACAAGCTTGTGTCGGGCGAGTTCCGGGCTGTATCCGACCGCACACGTTTTGCTGAGGCGGTTCAGAGCATCGTAACCGCTGCTTTTACGGGTGCCTTTATTGGCGACGATCAGACGCATTCCCTGACGTCCAGCTCCCCGACCACGGTTGCTGCGGCCGTTGCTCACGGTCTCACAGATGCGCACGAGTCCGATGAAAAGAATGTATACGAGGAAAAGGCGCCAGTCTCCGTGGCAGCCGCTAAAACCAAGGGTAACACGAACCCCAAGTTGTCCGCGCTCAGTAAGCGACCCAGCTCCCCCCCTATATATTTGGTGGCACCTACGGCGCCACACAAGACTGGTGCCACCTCTGCGCAAGGCCATCCATCGGAGGAAATCTTGCAGCGAGCTAATGTGGGAGATGACGCTTCAGGTGACCTGTACAGGAAGAACACCGTCGTTCTCATTTCTATGAACATGACACATTTTTACAAAAAGAAGGCTAGCAGTCTTAATTCCGATGTTAAACAAGTCGAAGAAGCTGGAGGTGAGTTGAATGTGGAGGATGGACGTCTGGAATCCGAGGAAAAGGCTGAAGACAGCGTACCAGACTCTCCTAGCCAGCCTGAGCAGACAGAGCAACAGGAAGAATCTAGTCAGCCTACTCCATCTCAGCTGGTATCTCTACGTGAGATTTTGGCGGTCCCTACACTCGCACAGCGCGAGGCACAGTATCACAGACGCAAGGTGAGAAAGGTTGACTACCACGTGAGTAAATCAAGAAAGAAACGCTACCAGAATAGACGCGCCCCAACTCGCAGCGGCACCAGCATCTATCACGCGCACACCTTGAAGGTGAAGACAATGAAGGACTTGTTGGGAATCCCTGGCATGCGACTGAAGTTGGTCAAAGTGCGCAAAAATAAACCGGTGTATAACGCGCCCACTCTACCTGACCCCGACGATGATATGCCAGAGGTTATGGAGCCTGTTCCCTTTCCGGACTGCGTGGCGCAGATCTCGGAGAACATTGTGCCGGAGGGGCTAAACTTCGTCGACGCCGGCGACGTTGACCCCTGCCTATGCATCGGAGACTGCTTCGCGCACTGCTGTCAGAACGCGGACATGGCATTCTACTGCACGACGGAGATCTGCCGTCTCGACGCGCTATGCAGCAACGCGCCACGTAATCACCCAGGCCTAAGGATCTACGATACTCGGCGCCTAGGCCTGGGCGTGTACACGACGCAGAAGTTATGGGCAGGAGAGATCGTCGCCGAGTACTGTGGAAAGCTGCAGGAGTATGAGGCTATGCGCGAAGGCCAACCCAAGGAGGCCATGAAGCAGAACAGCGGCTTCACCATGCTGTTGAATGAGAAAACCACGCGGGGAAACTTTGTGTATATCGAGGCGTTGGCTGCTGGAACGACCGCAAGATTCTTTCAGCACTCCTGCTGCCCCAACGTAGAGTTCGTGGAAATGCAGAATAGGACGCAGGGTAAGGTGCTGTGCCGTATGGTAGCTACTGTCGACGTTGGAGCCCAGATCACGGTCTCGTACGGTAATAATATCTGGTTCAAATGCGCGTGCGACCAGTGTTGGAAGAAGCGACCTTCACAGACTTAGTTTAAACGAATTTAAATCCAGCGTTTATAAAAATAGAGTACGACTTCGTATCTCGACGGTATCGTGTAGTGATATATTGTTCGCATACTCTACATGCGAGGATTTTCCTTGAAGACAGTCAAGAAAGATGCGATAATCAAAGTTCTTCATGCAGAAAAGAAGGCCCAGCATCCTTAATATTGGAAGATTGCTCAAATTTCGACGATGATCTTTTTACTAAAGAGGTTGGGTAAGAATACCATCGAAGGGTTCTTCTTCAAGCTCTTTTTATTTGTTGATATACTGTCAAAGCAAAAAAAAACACACTATATCGTCGATGATATTAAAGTCCTCGATTGGCTGATTATCAGATCAACTCATACCATGCAAAAGGCATCCCGGCGCTAGTTAAGTAGATCGCGTGCACATGCAGGATCTCAATATGTCAACGCTGGGCCAACACCCAGTGGACGGCCACCACGATGGGCGCTTCGCGAGATCAGACCTTCACTAGTGTTCTTCTGCTTGCCCGCGCGTAACCAATATCTCCTGCCCGCGGACAGTCCAAGTACCTCGAGGTGTTCGCATGTTGTCGAAAGAAGGACGTGGCACAACACACGGTCAAAAGGCTGAAACCCAGGTAGCCTACAATTGGACAACACACAATACGGGGTTGGGTGGTACAAACCAATTCC